CTCCCGTGCGAGGACAGGCTGAGAGAGTTGGGGGTGTGCAGCCTGGAGAAGAGAAGGCTCCGGGGAGACCTTCCAGCACCTCCCAGTGCTGAAAGGGGGCTACAGGAGAGATGGGGGAGGGGGGAACTTTTTACAAGTGCATGCAGTGACAGGACGAGGGATAATGGATTTAAACTGGAAGAGGGGAGATTTAGGTTAGATATTAGGAAGAAATTCTTCACTGTGCGGGTGGTGAGGCAGTGGCCCAGGTTGCCCAGGGAAGCTGTGGATGCCCCATCCCTGGAGGGGTTCAAGGCCAGGCTGGATGAGGCTTTGGGCAACCTGGGCTAGTGGGAGGTGTCCCTGCCCATGGCAGGGGGTAGGACTGGATGATCTCAAGGTCCTTTCCAACCCAAACCATTCTGGGATTCTGTGCTGTGAGCTATTCGTTTCTATAGCTGTGCCCTCATTTTGGAGCTGGTGCCACCACTCGCAAGATTTATGCTCATCTTTTCAGGCTTCCAAGGGCCATTTCAGTCCATGTTCATCTCTAGCACTGATGGTAAGTTGGATAAGATCTGGCCCTCAGTCTGCTTCCACTCACAGAGGTATGGATTGATTTTGCCTGGTAAGGTCCATCTAGCTATGAAGAGAAAAGGGCAGGTGCTAGGCTTCTAGCAAGTTTAAGGTTCCTGGTCTTGTATTTTAAAAAGATAAGCCCCTCATGCTGTTTTTCCACTGTGTTCCACAGTATGAGAGAGACTCAAGCAGGATGCACAGGGGTTTGAGAGGACAGATTCCTGCTCACATAGTGGCCCTAAAGTCAAAGTCTTCTGGTATGCTAAGCTACGTTGCAGTTGTAGTTTACGCAGGTTTTATGTGAATATTTCTGGGTTAGTCTTTAATCTCCGTATGTAGTAAAAAATTAAATTCTGTGGTTTCCTTTTTTCTCTTCCCCAGCAAATGTAATTAGCAATATAGGCATAACCCTGATATTTGAAGTCAGGGAGAGCAGAACTGATGAATCTGCATGTGAATTCAGTTCTGGTTTGTGGGGTTTTTTTCTTTTTTCCCAGTCTGCTTTATGTTACTTAATGATGATAAATGTCCCTCAAAGTCAGGGGCTCTTCCATTTTGATGTTAGAAGGAACTTCTCTGCTGTTAGTTTTGCTTTTCTGAGGAAGTTGTATTTTTCAGATGTGGCCATTGTAAATTCCAGCTGGTACTTATGAATATTTATTTTTCTACCCATACACATAATCGATCTGCTATTTGCAGTAAATATGCATGTACATGTAAAGACATTCATTTGTTAAATTGTTTATGATGCATTCTGGAAGTTAAGTATCTTCCAAGCTCAGTGAAAATGTCTGTAGATGAAAGAGCTTGCAGCCATTCGTATAGCTTCCCCCACAGGGTTCCCAGTAACACTCAGTTCCTTTGTTTGATTGACTTAGAATTAATTCTGGTGAAAACAATTCTATAAAGGCCACTTGCTATAGAGGAAACAGTGATAAAACACTATTTATAGAATTTTTACATCAAGAATCAGAGTAGGTTAAAGTAGAATTATGAAAGAAGTTTGTTTTTCCACAATGCTGTTCAGTCACCACTGAAAATTTATTGTTTGTACTCCATGTGTAAAGTAACAAACTATGAAGTTCAGGTGTCCATCAAATGGTATTAAGAGCCAGTTTAGTCATTTTTCAGCACTCCTGCCATTCCCCTCGGACTGCCCTTCCAGCCTAAAGCTTACAACCATTGTGGTCTCTGTGCAAGTAGAGAAAAAAGTGATTTTGCTGCATTGTCTCTACTCGCTGTGGAAGGACGTCTTACTCATCTTCAGATATGAGTACTTTTACAGCAGGCTCCAGACTTTCATTATCTAAGGATGCTGTTAATTATACTACTTATTGAAGGGCATGAAAGTAAGTGCTGGGTGTGGGCTTGTAAGAACCCCAGTGAAAAGTAATTGTGATTTTTCTACAGGTTTGATTGAAGTTCCTATTTTAGAAAGTGTGTATGCAAGCAACTGCAAAGCTATCACTCTGCTAATATCAGCCGGATACAAGGGATTCATGTTTTATAGATGGAAACAGGATTGCTAAAGATTGATATATTTCATTACAGATGTGACGAATATGTCACACAGCTGGATGAAATGCAGCGGCAGCTTGCAGCAGCTGAGGATGAGAAGAAGACTCTGAACTCCTTGCTTCGAATGGCTATCCAGCAGAAACTGGCATTGACCCAGCGCCTGGAACATTTGGAGCTAGACCACGAGCAGTCCAAAAGGGTGCGCACAAAATCTGCCTCCAAAGCCAAGAGCAGTAACCCTAGTGTAAGTCATATTCGGTCCTGCGGAGACAGGTCTGAAGGATCTGTCCTTAACAACCAGGTTTTTTGTAGTGAAAAATATAAAATCTATTGTGACTAGGACAGGTGTGTAGAAAAATCATATTATGCATCTTATGTTATGCTGTAACTGTCAGCGTAAATCCCCACTATCTAATGTCGCAGTGAGTTGGCTTGTACTAGTATGTTGTTGAACCAGGTAATACAGATTGTATTATGGTGGTCTTAACTGTAACTAATCCATAAGTGTGGGGATGCTATTAACAAGTTAATAGTGGAAAGGAATTAGCCGTTTCCACAATTAACATATATGAGTTTTGCTGTTTATGGTAAGTGTTAAAAGCGTACACCTGATATAGTATATCTGGTGCTACTATTTGTAGTTTATATAGCACAAATGTGATCCTTTCACCAGGGTTGCAGCATACTTCAATAAATGCTTTCACAGGCAGAAACAGACAGAAAACCTTCCTTGTTATTGTGGCTTAAGAAGTGGTGAAAAGCAAATGTTAAAATTAGAGGTATGTCTTGAAAATGCAAGGCATTTTGAAACTGGAACCAAACTTAATTTGCCTGTTGTGGCAGATAGTAAGAACTTGCTGTCGTATCACCACTGACCAAAGTCCTAAAGCTTTTATAGGGTATAAAAGATAGAAAAAAACTTGGTAGGATACATTATTTACACTCTGCTTCCTTCTCTTCAGAGGGTTAACCAGAAGAAACTTGCACATATATATTAAAAATATGCAATATTTACCCCATCTGATATCAAACTTCAAATTTTAACAATTGGGATCCTACCTGGTAGACAGTTCCACTTGAAGAAGTTGTGCTGTGGAAAAGTGTCATGTCTTGAAAAGGATCTTTGTGGTCTCATGTTGCTCCTTGCAAGCATAACACTTTGGAAAGAATCTGTTTTATGTATTACTGTAGCCACACAACATGTATGTGTAGAATTGATGGGACTAGGATCTAGTATTGTCAGTCACAAAACAGTTTTTCTCAGCTTTCAGTGTTAATCTAAATAGGATAGTATTTCAGAGCTCTGATTGTTTGTTTTTTTTCTTTAATACACAAAAGATATTGTATTCCTTATGCAAGCACATGTTTCACAGGGCTCTACATTATAGGCACAGGAAATTGAACCAGATCATCCTGCTAATAATTATTTATGAAGTAGCTTAGTATACATATTAATCTTTAAAAGCAAATAAACCATTGTCTGCTATTGAACTTTTAAGGGGCCTTTTTAGCCACTTAACTACAATATGTTTGATAACATGAAAGTGTACTTCATAATTGGTGCCTACATAAGAGAAAAAGATTGAAAATGTTGCTTCTAAAATTGTTGAAAACCTGTGGAGCACAACAAGGCACACTTTTTTCTTTAAACCAGAGTTTTCAAGTGCCTAGCCTCACACTTTATTTTAATGTAAAGCCCTGTTCATTTTGTACTCTTTCAAATAATTTTGTATGCCTATAGTATTACTAAAAGCAATGCGAGCCTGCACGGTTGTCTGCTTCATAGTGATGTTTTCTAAAGCCATTCTGCTGTTCCTGGTGTGGTACTGCCTCATCTCACGGCCATTTCTGATGGGTGATCAGCAGCTTGCTTCCCGTGCATTGCCGCTCTGCCTATAAGTAGCCAGGAGATATCCCAGTACTAAAGGAAGGTAATACGGAGCACGGCGTGTTCTCCCAGTGAGGGGAAACCACATGGGGTTTTGCCTTCCCAGATATTAGAGGACGGTGGGGGAAGACTTCTAAATTCATACAATGAGACTTTAAAGAAGTGGCATTATAGAAACCTTGCTCCAAAGCTGGGAAACATCAGAATGGCACAGACCAATGCCAGAATTGCATTTAGCCATATTGAAAAGAGGAAAAAAAACCCAAGGGATTTAAGCCTAATATGTTGCTCAGACATCACTGCTTGAGACGTTTAAACAAATAGCAATTCTGGCTTTAGAAACTAGGCCCTGTGCATCTATTATTACTTTTTTTTAGAAATACTGAACTCTCCTGAATTTGAGCTTTAATATTGCTAAATAGCAGGTTTGATATTTTAGAAGCGAGACATTTTTTAACAATTTTCAATCCTGCTTTTCTCTTCTTTGCTGCACAATCTTCCAAATGGCCTTTATTCGTCTCATTCCTGCATTAAGTATAATTTTAAAATACTTTGTAAAAGCAGGCATTTGAGTGCTAACTTTCTCTGCTCCAATAGAAACAAGTTGCAATTTTGCTTCCACTATGGTAGGGAGCTTTAATAGAGTTTTCACTGCTTCTGTGTCTCTAATGGCAGTATTTTTGCAAAATACTAATGGCAAAAAGGTAAATTGGAGAAACTAATTGAATGCATTGTTAGGTTTTTTTCACATGAGCTGGAACTTTCTGTAAAGGCTTCAGTGTTACCAGACAGTGACTCTTACTGTCAGTCTCGGCTCATGCTTTCAGTTCCAAGTATGAACAATTTTGCTATTAGCCCAATAGTCTTAGTAGTCATATCCATCTTCATTCATTTCTGAGAATCTTACTTGAGTGCTATTTGAACTTGTCAAGGTTATAGTTTAACTTCTCGTAGCACCTGTTATAAAAAGAAATGAGGAATGGTGGTAAGGTGGCTTGCTCCTGCTAACAGATAATATTGAAGACTGAATCTTGTCATTCTCAATGAACAATTTCTTGAAACGTACGTTTGCTGTGAGTCTTTCGTATCACTGTCAATGGGTTGGGATAAAGCATGGAAAATTTCTTAAGCCATCACCTACCTCTGCAAGCAGGCTTTTCTTCTGAATGATATTCTCTGCATTGGCCTGCATGATACACTGACCTGCATGTTTCTGGAGAACCTAAAGCTTCACTGAAAATGTTTCTTGCACTTCATTGCTGTTAAATTGTGCTTGAACAGCAAAGCTTTATTCAGTACTTGTAAGAAACCTTCTTTCTGCAAAGCTATTGCTTCCAGGCTCAGCCCAGAAAGCGTCGTTTCATCAGCTTGGAAAGCACCTGAGAGCCGAAACGGCTGCTTCTGCCCCAGTGAGCTAACGACACCCTCAACCAACTAACCTGCTTTTGCAGCACATTGTTTTCGGTTCTTTAATTGAGAAATAAGCACTGATTTTTTTTTTCCCTAATGCTATTTTATTTTTCCGTTTTTCAGCTGTAGAGTAGTCCCTGGAGATGGCCTTTCCAACAGTGCAACAGCATTTCTTAGCCTCTCTCACTGTGGTTAAAAGTGGTAGCCCATTGCACAAAGAAAGGAAACCACTGACCTGAATCCTAACTTTTGAAAACACCTTTTCCTATATACTACCTGAAACTTTCCTTTTATGTCTGAAGGTATAAAACAAACGAGCTTTATCTGTGAGTGCTGCTGCAGTAAGAAAACTTACAAGTGCTGAAGAAACCTACTTCAAATATAACGATCACCGTATTCGTTTATGATCTACTAGAAATGTTCGATGGGGGAATTTCGTATTTCATTGCAGATGCTCATTTTTTATCTGATTGTTAAACCTGTGCACTTTCGATATTTTGATATTTTTCTTTAGCTTCTTTAATTCCTTATGTAGGAGAGTTTATATAAATGCAGTGGTTTGTGCTCGTAGTGTCTTTCCAATTTGGGCTTGTGATTTTTTTTTAATTCTACATCAGCATGTGGCAGAGATTTTTTGGGGGGCTCTAGATTGTGATTAGAAAAGAGTTTCAACAAGAACCAGGAGCTCTGCTAAACTGTGTGCTGTGCTTCAGCAGCTTTTTTTATTATAAAATGTTAAGCTTTATATGTTCAAATTACTGATTTTTTTTTTTTTAACTGCCATGTTCATTAAGAAATCCAGGGTATTCAAATTCTGGGGTTTTTTTCATATTGTATTATTATTCTTAGGAATAGTTCAATGTAACAAGAAGAAAACTTGACTTTGCTCTGGTTAAAACAGTAATAGGCACTTGAAAAAATATTAAATAAGTAGTATTACCTATAAATTCCAGAATTCCTGGGTTTTAGGAAGTTGAAGTATTATTGATTAACAGAATTTTATACAACTATACCTGTTAAATTCCAAATTGGAATTGTTTTGTTACTTTTTCATTTTATTGTGCCAAATTATGGTACATTTAGACAGAAAAATTCTAAAGTTGTCAGTGATAGGGTGTTATGTATCAGCGCCTTTCTGTCATTAATTATTGCCAGTAGTGCCTTTAATCATTTTAAGGGAGACTCCTAGAATAGCTTAGTCTAAGTCCTGTAACTTAGAAGGAATGGAATGGCTGGTTTGGAATTTATTAAAGTCGTGGAGCAATAAGTGCAAAGTGAACTCCCCTTTCGCACATTTTTAATGGGTAGTCTTACTATAGAGATTATATATTCAAGGAATTGTAAAAAATTCTGTTAGTCAATGATATTTCATCATGCAAATCCTTGCAAATTCAGGGGTATAGAGAAAAAGAAAAACAAAACACAACAAACCTGAGTACACTTTGGGAATGAAATGGACTCACGTTGAACAAACGAGCAAGATGTATTAACACATTTGTGGCAACAGGACAGAGAACATATCAGGAATATTGGTGTTATGTTAGCTTTGTATGGTGGTGGATGCAGTTAACCATAGGATTGTTTGCAAATGTGAACAACAAAGCATTGATATCTTCTCTTGCATGTTGTATCTTATCATTGTAATTTCAGGAAACAGAAATGGAGAAGTGCATCAACAAGCTGTACCCATCTCTCTACTGCTTGTTGAGGCTCACGCGAATTATTAAATTGGTACTTGGTGGGGGGGAGCCTTCCCACTCCTCAAAAGAAGTACAAATTGAAATAACATTGACAGCGGGGAAAAAGATTTCTGTTTGCTGGAAAAAATCATTATTATTCCTAGATGTGGGGACTTATATTTCCATCTTCTGTTACAGTATTGATTCATAAGAAATATTGTTGCATTTAAAATTACTACATTTCTATGTGGGTATTTATTTGAAATGATGTCGAAGTACTGTATTATGTTTTATGTGCATTACCTTTTAGTGGTGGATTGGTCTCCATTTAACGTCATATGCATGTATTCTCTTGCCAAGTAACCTTTACACAGATCTGGGGGAAAAAAAAATGTTAAAGAGAAAATATGGAAGCTTCTTAAAAGTATAACTGTGTATTAATTGGATAACCTTAGGAGGCATAGAGAGCAAAACATTACTTCCAAATTAATCAAAAAACGTTTAATGTAGGAAAGCAATCTGCCTGCGTAAAGGTAGTCACATTGGCAGTATCAATAAAAGAGAAAAGGAATCACGTTTTCTGCTTGTTGTTTTCACGTTTTAAGAAGGTGCCTTGTTAATTAGTCAGTCGTCTTAAGCTGTTTAATGATT